CGGCTATCCCTGTATTTGCTGACCTCATCGAGATTAACATTTCCTCCATCCGCTGCCAGCCACGACAGCAACTGATGCTCTATCATGACCCTTGTGCACGTATTTGTAAATATACTTGACTGATGACACTGATCCACAGACTTCAACGTTAATATGAGCGTTATATTTGGTTGTAAGCCATAAATTGTGAGGAACAACCCAAGTGTTGTCGACAGTGTTGCCTTTTGAGTTTACAAAGGAGCGTGCAGGATCATTACGTCGACGATAGTTCGGGTAGCCATCCTCGCTTCTTGCAGTATTTCCCAAAAATGAGCGTGGGTACTTTTTGCTGCAGCTCCCTTCCACCATGCATGGCGCTCTAGAATTATGGACCCCACATGGCCCATGTACCATGTGGGAAGTTACTGTCTCGTACGCAAGCGGGGCACTGTGTCGATCGGGGATCTCTGCAGACACAATAGAGTCAATGTCGTCTGCAGTCCGAGGCTTGCTTCCATCGTCAAGAATTATGAGGAGATGCTGATGCGGCAAACCACGTTTCTGGAACTCGACGACCCAATTGTAAGCAATAACTTTCCCTAGGACATCTTTCTTGAAGAGGTCATCCTCTAGAGCCTTCTTTTTGAGATTAAATACTCGTACGCAAAGGTCAGGCCAATCAGCTGCTGTTTGGCCTTCATAAAGAGCCTCCTGGATCTCTGGCCACTGGGGATTACATGTGAAGGTGATGAAGAGATCTGGCTTGCCAAACTTCCGAACCATGGCAATGGCATCTTGGAACAACTGTTGCATAAATCTGGGGCCTCCAACAAAGGAAGATGGTAAGATAATCCGCTTTCCAATATTCTCTGGCCTGAGATTGAGGTCAATTGCATCCACTATGCCGATATATGCATCCGCTTTGAGCTTAGCTTGATTCATACTGATATATAGGAGCCGAGAAGTTTCCAACTTGTAATATTGGTCGACAATATATTGGTGAGCCAAACGTGGAATCATCCAAATGTAGGATCGTTGATCTGTTGAGCTCATTGGGCGGATTTGCAGTCTATATGCATAGAACTCCCTTTGGCTGACGAACTCTCGGGTTTTTTTCGTCCGGCTCTCATGAGGTTCCATCTGGTCATCCTCAACATCCTCACCATCGCTTTCTCCAAGAGACCTTTCAGAGCCTAGCTCTGACCCGCTTTCCTTCTTATACTTGCCGTATGTCCACCCACACTCACCATTCGGATGCAAGAGGACGTAGTGAAGGCTGTCGTATGACGGATGAGTCTCGCTGATCTGCTGTAAACCGCCCCTTTTGTATTCAATAACTATATCCCTTCTTGAAACTTGGCTATCATCACCAGGCATCAAAACAGCGATTTCAGAGGACGAAGGGGGACCATATTGTCTCCGTCCTTGGCTCCTTAGGTCACGTTGGGACTCAGCACGGATGACGACCCTTAACTGAGTATCTTGACCATTGACACGCTCTTTAATGTTCTTGAGTAAACGGGCCATCGGGTGATGTCGTTCGAGAAGCTGTTGTAGCTCAATTAACAAACTGTTGTCGAGAGAACCTTCAAAGTACCCATTGCGAATTTTGGCCTGCTCTTCAGGGTCATGAATATGGCTGTGGATCTGTAAAAACTGAGGGTCTACACCTTCAGACGGGCTCAGAGGGCCAATCAGGTGAGCGATACCTCCGATAATACGGAAAGTGTACACGCCTTGTTGGCTGTTTGCAAGGCTCCTGGCATGGTTTACTTTCATCGACGTAAAGGACAGAGCACAGTTGTATTGCCGTGCATTATTTCGAATGGCTTTGCTTCTCGCGTCTTGGCCACCAAAGACCTCTAAAAAGCGGCGCGGAATACCCTCCAGATGAGGGATTTTGACTTGACCTCTGCCGCAGCACAAGGAAAATTCTGGTCGGTGCTTGGTGTTTTTCACTCGTTCTTCAAGGAACATGATAGCATTGCAATAAGGGCACCGGACCATCTGCTCTAAGCGGTGTCTATGGCGCTCGATATTGGGGCCTGAGATTAATTCTTGTTGGAACCTCCTTCTAGCGGTGGGGATAGTATCCATACTATTGGAATATAGAATCACAAATTTTTATTAATATTTTATATGGGCTTTTTCACTTTTTCACTTATCACAATATTTTTTTACACTAAAATAATAATAAGGGGAAGTCGGACTTACTCTTTATCGGGGCATGTGTTTCGATTATGTCCTGGGCGACTGCATATACTGCACTGCCGTTGCACAGGCCGACAGGGTGACTGTAGCCTAGGGAGCAATGATAATGATGTTAGATTAGAAACGCAATACGTGGTAGTTTATAAATTCAATAAAATGTGAACCAAGAGTAGCTCACCTTCGACTTCGCTCAGGTCTTTCGCTTTCACCTGGGCCATCAAGGCTAATGCTTCGTCTGCGAGTCGTCACAGGCTCGGTTCGATTCTGCATGGGGTCACTAAAGATAACATTGCAAAAGAAATGGCAATTTAGGATTGAAAAAAAAAATGCATTGCTAAGGATTACATATCGAAACATCAAAATGGAGCTCACCCTTCATTATTTGGACATTTACTTAGAAGCAACTTGATGGTATAAGTTTGGTGTAGCCGAAGGGACCAATGTTTCCTGCGACCGGGAGAGCTCTAAGTTATAGTCTTCTTGAGTAGGACAAACACAGCTGCTCTGAGAAGAACAACCTGTGTTCATGCAAACAACACAGCCAAGCCTGACTGCAAGCTCAGCTCTCATTGCCTCTTCTTTACGTCTTCTTTCTTCCTGTTCTTTTTTTTCCCCTTCTCTCTCTTGTTCAAGGAATTCAAATAGGGCGCACTCGTCAATGGAGTCGTATATCATGTCATATAGCTTCTCTTCATTCTCCACATCCTCTGCTTGCCGGCCTGGTAACTCCTCTCTTACCTCCACAGGCTGTGCTCGGATGATACGTGGTACAGCCCGTCGAGATCGTCGTGCTCGGATGATGCATCGTACGCCTGAAGTGGAGCTGTCCGACGGAGGAACGGCTTTCGAGTGGTTCGAGTCACCATAAATAGAGCGAGGGCACTTGGTAGGCAACTGGCTTCTGGGAGGTGCAGCTGATGACGAACGTGTGGAACGTGTGGCAGCCAACGACGACGAACGTGTAAAACGTTTGGCAGGCATTTTTTTTTTTTAGCAGATAAAATAGACGAAAGCAATAAAAACAAAGGTCTGAGGAAAATGAAAGCAAGGATTCAGAAATATAGGTGCGTTGAGGGATTAAGATTGTAAAACAAAGCGAACAGGTTTATTTTAAATCTACAGTGCATCGTAGACGCGATAGCGATGCATGCTGATTTAAAGTTTCAAAATAAGGGTCGTGTCACATGGGCAAAATAAATTTAATTAAGGGACAGCGAATCACATTTTGACTCTATCCGTAAAAAAACAACCGAAATCCAATCACTCTACACTGGATGCCCCATTCTCCAATTAAATGAGACTCTTGCCACCCACAGATTCTTGCTTACCCATGGATGAGTGAATGCTCCAAGCTGTTGCTTATTTATGTTTTGTTCATTTATGATGCTCCAAAAGTTGTCACATAATTTCGCAGTCATCTAATTTTTCTACCTGCTTTAATATATAGATATTTTAATATTATCATGTTTCTATATTTTTATATTTTATACTCGGAGATCTTTATCTTCAATACTGAGGTCAACACTCACCTTATACATACTTATTATCATCATATACATATTTCCCTATTATTATCATTTCCTTCACTGGAGAGGGGGTGATGTGACATATCAGTCACATGTAAGTAGTAATTTCACTTATCATTTATTAGTTGTCAATTAGAGATTGTCCTTCACCCTATTTATATCAGTAGGAGGTGATCAATAAAGGGATGAACGTTTCTCATCCATTTCCCAATCCATATTATTCATATTGATCACCCATACTTCTCAGCCATAGATCATTAAAGGTTCCTTATTTTTACACAAGAACCATTTAAGTACTGACTGTTCTCGTTCAGTCTTTGAGTAGTGTGTGTGTTCTTTTTATTGTGTTAGAATTATTTTATCTATCTGCAGCTGGAAGTGACCAGCTTCACAATCCACCAAAACGACCTAGATCTCCTACCGCATCTGCCCCTAAATTTTACAACAATATCAGATTAGCCAGCATTTATCATTACCTCTTGTCTTCAGTGAAGTAAAGCTGCAGCAGCTCCGGAGCAAAGGAATGCCTCGTAGTATAGTTTCTTCGCAATACATGAGCATCTTATTTGCTCTTCTCTTATGCGCTGAGTAAACGGTGTCACTCTGGGTAATGCTTTAAAGTAGGCCATATTCGGTTGAACAGACTTGATTCAAATCCGATGGTATAGCATCAGGACTCTAACCAACCATTCAAAAGGCAGCGAGACTCAATGAGCAATCAACAGTTACAAGAAAAACTATGCACTTGCTTTGATATATGCAGCTTATTGAATAAAAATTTAACAAACCAGATATCTGGATCACCATCTGAAGATGTCTTCTTCAACTGGAGATGGCCAAGTATGCAATGGTTGACATGATGTATACTCCATTGAAAACAGGCAGCTTTAATTAAGCACGAGCCACAGTTGGCTGTGCTAATCAAAACGCACGATGTAGTCATGCAGCAGCATAACATGGTTGTGGTATGAGGAATGAGACACGACAAACAGATCCACAAACTGAATGGTCAGTCTTCAACTTGAGCTGCATTTGTTGCTTCGTATAGACCGAACGAAGGCGAATTTAAGAGGAAGAGTGTGCATGTTCACAATCACCAAGCTTTTTTCTCGTTTGTTACTTGTCATTTTTGTTGCTTTGCTACTTTGCTACTTTGCTACTTTGCTACTTTGCTACTTTGCTACTTTGCTACTTTGCTACTTTGTTATTTTCGCTACTTGTGGCACATTTGCCCTGTATCTACATGAAATTTGTCAAATCAAATAGCAATAATGACATTTAATATCATTGTTCAGGCTCTTCTTTTTTCCTCTTTCCTCCTTTCTCCTCCTGCTCTATCCTCTCCTCAAATCTGCAATCATTTTTTTCTTCTTCGTTACCCCGCTCAAGTACCTACAATGGTACATGAGATAAGTTTACACCAAAGCTGATTTTATAAATCAGATCTTATTATCTTAAATCGTGTTTCCAGTAATTGGTGGTGTGGTTGGCGTTGGTTTTTGAACTGCTCGCGTTTTTTATTTCTTCCCTAGCCACCAACCAATGTTGTTTGTTGGTGTATGTACTTTCCAACTTCTATTTTGCTTTGGCACGCGCACAACAAAAGGGCAAAAAGAAGAGGGTTTTTATTTTTTTATTTTTCCTGTTGCGTGTACAATGTATGTTCTTTGTAGATTGATTGAGAAGAACAAAGGATGGGAAGCCAAAGAGGCTGAATTTGTTTTTTTTTTTTTTTTTTTCCTCATTTCGCACCGCTTTCATTTTGTAAATGATGGTGGTAGTGTGTTGCGCAATTGCTAAACCAAACAAACAATGTATGTTGGTTTTTCCTTGGCCGACCACACACACATGCAGATATACACCCAAATATCCAAAATACTCGCACGATCCCTCTCCTTCAATCGCAACAGCAATTTAGCATTGATTACTTCAATTACTTTTTCACGACCGAACTCAGCAAAGCTGTTCATGTGTATTGGCCTCTCTTCTAGTTAAACATCAATCAGCATCACATCCTTCTTTTACCTGAAGTGGGTCACTATTTCCTTCGTGATGCTAACTGTCAATTGGTGGCCCAGTGTCAGTTCAATAATGTTCCCTTTATCGAAAATCCAGACCTGATTTTGCAGTTTAAGCATTTCTTCCCTCATTTTCTCAGCCTCCTCTTGTAATTTAAGTATTGCGGACTGCGGTTGATATATTTTATCATTCTTTTCTTTGGCCTCTTGCAGAAACTCTTTAATCTGCTCAAGCTCAGGCTTGATCATCTTTGTGCGTTGTTGTAAGCAGTCAGGGACTGATTGAAGTATTGAATCAAATCAAATCAAATCTGTGATAATGATCTTTTCCATTGTTCCTCCTTTCAACATGCCGAAGATTTCTAAGCCTTATGATTTAATTTTAGGTGATTGCCATCTGAAATGGTTCCATGGGGACAAGGACAAGTCTTTTGAGTTATTCGTTAAACATTTCAAAATAATATCAAAATCGCAGGCAGAGCATCTTTATTCCTCCTACCTTTCCGACAGACAACATAAACTAAAAGATAAAAAACGTCTTTTGCTGAAGGACGCTTTCGTTCGATGGAAAGAGAAAAGTGGAAACTCTTTTTGGTCATCATTTGTAACTGATTTACAGCAAAATGATATTTATCAAGGTAAATTACATTTCACTCATATACTTTTTTGAGACATGAATGTAAAAGATCTATTTGAGCAACATAAAATTAGGAAGCGTATGAAACTATGGAAGTACAAGGGACACGACTATTTTTTACGCTTCAAAACTTTCGTTCATTCTTCTCCCTTTTTCTGCAGCACTGGGAAAGGCTTCGCGGATCTTACTATCGCAAGAATCCGATACATCCTTGTTCTTACATTTTCTTGCAACCTATCGCAAAGAAGCATTCGTTGTCATTTCCTGAATTCGATTCTATCTGTTCTACGGTATTCAAACCGGATGTCATCACATTTGAAGATGTAACAAAAGCGCTGACTAAGTACGGAAGATTCGAAAACCCCACTTACCGATATCTGATGGAAACAGTATCATCATACTAAGTAAATTAGATGATTTATTTATAATATCAACAATTCTTTAAAAGTTTTCTTACCTTTTTTTTTTTTTTTTTTTTTTTTTTTTTTGGCCTTAGTGACCATCATTTTACCTTTACTGAGCGACTTCAAGAGACCCTTAGTGAAAGAGAAGCATTCTGCGACATCACTTGGAACTTCATTCGTGGAGCTTTCACACTTCATAAAATACGTTCAAATGTTGAAATTTCGTATAGCAGTTCAGAAACCGTATGATTTTGTCTACATGTACATTTGCCTTTTTTTATTTTTCTATTAATTTTTCCACCATCTTCTCTATTCCAAGTTGCTTACAATAATGAAAACCGTGTTGCCACAATTGAACGATGCTCATTCAACTTTTGCAACAAAAAAGACATTTCCTTAGATCAAATTCGTTCCTATGGTCTGGATGAACCAAAAAGTAAACCTTACAGGGACTTACCGAAAGATCTGAAAGATCATTATTGCCGTTATCATTTTAACAGTGCTGTCGCATTTGAGTAGAATATCCCAACTGTCAATATTACGCGTATATTTTCGGCATGTCGAGATTTCAATAATGAATGGGACTACACTTGCGTCTGCCGAAATAGATATCGAGACCGTGATGTGGTTTTAAATCACTTCAAAAACTGTCAACATTTCAGAACATTATCCTCGTAGCCATGGTCCATATGTGTGACCTCTTTTTATTCCTTCTGACCGAGAAAAAACTAAAAATAAAATAAATAAAATCTAGCGTTCGCTCTGATCTACTCTCTATCTTCTTTTTTCTCGCTCAGGAACACATCCAGCGTATTGAAGTTCCAAATGAGCGAGTATGACACTTCTGATCCAATTATACACTCTCTCCAGAGCCAGCTGGCTACACTCACCAGCCGGCTTGAGGCTCTCTCGACTAGCTCTGAATCCAGTCGATCGAACCCCTACTTGGTTCCAAAAGAACCAGCTTACGAAATTACACCTGACGACTCCATTCTCGTCCACTACCCAGCAATGGACGGGAAAGATTTTTTCAAACATAAATCTGGAAACCGTGCAGACGATCTTGCATATGCAACAGAAATGGCTAAAGAGATGCAGTCTTTTGCCAAAAACACAACCCAAACCTATTCTGCACCCAAATCGGCACTCATTGACTGGCCCGACTCTTCCTCTCACCACAGTTCCATGGACAAAACAATCTCACGCTATCAATCACGATTGGCAAACCTTACAAGACCACTTGATCAATTTGCCACGGAAATGTTTTCCTACGAAGTTGACCCTGCGGTCGCACAAGCGTGTTTACAGCTCGCACAGACAATGCGTGAACATATTGCACACCTTGCACAGCAAATGTCAAGCGACAGGGAGGACCTTGTTTACCAAGCGCACAAAATTTCAGTCACCAAGGACACAGTTGATCCACCAATTGTCTCTACTTCAGACTTCATTGAAGCCAGCAAATTGGCAAAGAGTGTTCGTCAGGCTACTAACCCGACAAGACAACGGGCATACAACAGGAGGACTCAAAACCGGAGTTTCTTTAGCGCAAATACTTACAGACCCACTTCTAATTCTAGCCAATCTCATCCATCGGGTCAAACTCAGACCGCCCACTATCAAAATGACAATGGTTCTTTTTTTGGGCGAGGCCAAAATCCAAGGAGAGGGGGACGAGGCCGAGGCCGAGGCTACCAAACCCCTCAATCCAACCAGACAAGTCAGGCACAGACTGCAGGCCAGCAGTAGGTGGCCGTTTACAGATTTACAGAGAAGCATGGGCTCTCATAACCGACAACGAATGGGTCAAGTCGGTCGTCTCCGAGGGATTCAAAATCCCTTTCCACAAACGGCCACCGATATCCAGTTCAACAGCGTACCAAGCTCGAGTAGCAGCGGAGGAAGAGAAGGCGATCGATCAAGAGGTAATCGCACTCTTAGCCAAAAGAGCAATAGAGGTCGCTTCGGGCCCTGGTTTCAAGAGCCGAATATTCACTATCCCCAAGAAAACCGGGGACATTCGTCCAGTCTTAAATCTAAGACCGTTGAATGCCTACGTCTCAGAGCGGCACTTCAAAATGGAGACGATGACGACAGTATGCGCAATGTTACAGAAGAACGACTTTATGACAAGCATCGACCTATCAGACGCATTTCTTCACGTACTAATCCATCCAGATTATCGTCATTATCTACAGTTCCAATGGAAGAACCGGAAATTTCAATTCCGTACACTTCCCTTCGGGCTCTCACTCTCTCCGCTAGTGTTCACCAAAGTTCTCAAGCCTTTCCTCAAATGGGCACGACGACGAGGAATTCGCATATCAGCGTACCTAGACGATTTGATAATCCTAGCCAAGAACAAAGAACAATCAATTCAGTTCACTCAACTAGTGCAAGACAAGTTGGCAGCGCTAGGATTCCTCATCAAGGAAGCCAAGTCTACGTTGATCCCGTCACAGAAAATAGACCATTTAGGCTTCACCATCAACTCCCGGGATATGACTGTCACAGTTCCGAAATCCAAAGTCAGGGACATACGGCGCGAGGCAGGAAAGCTGCTACGAAAAGGCGCCACTTCTTTAAGGGAACTTTCTTCGTTCGTCGGGAAAGCAATGGCAACATCTATGGCAGTGTTCCCAGCGCGATTCATGACACGGAATCTGCTTCACCTCAAGAACACAGCACTAAAAGCCAAGGGAGCTTCTTGGTCAGACACGGTCACCCTCACGGAACCAGCCAAGGAGAACCTTCAATGGTGGAAGGAGCAACTGACGTCATGGAATGGTCTGTCATGGATTCAACAACAGACACAAATGGACATATACACGGATGCATCGGACACCGGATGGGGGATCGTGATCAACAATCAAACATGGAGTGGCAAATGGACTCCACAAGAGAAAGACCACCACATCAACTGGAAGGAACTACAGACAGTTCTTCGAGCTGTTCAACTACCAATAACACAGGGCAAAATGATCAACATCATATGCGACAACACGACGACGATTGCACACATCAACAGGTTCGGAGGGACGAGGTCTCCGGAACTAATGAGACTAGCGGACACGTTATGGCGTCACTGCCTAGCAACGGGGACTCGACTTCGGACGACATACATCCCATCTGCATTCAACCCAGCGGATGCACCGTCACGGCGAATGATATCGCAATTGGAATGGAGGATCAGTCGCCCATTCTTTCAACAACTGGAACACCAATGGGGCCCACATCAGGTGGACCTATTTGCGTCAGCACAGAACAAACAGCTACCGGCATTTGTCTCATGGAAATTCCATCCAGATGCTCTGAAGATAGACGCCCTTCAACACAACTGGACAGAGATGGGCAACCTTTACATTTGCCCCCCATGGAATCTTCTATCAATCATCTTGGAGAGGATACAGACCCAGAAACTGACAGCAACAATAATAACCCCATGGTGGCCGAGTGCAATATGGTTCTCAACCATCAAGGAGATGGCAGTAGCACCACCAATCCCGATCCCTCGGGAAGCAGTCCTACCAGCCGTCGGAAGCGCAAGCGATCTCCTCAGCAAGAATCCACTCTGGTCATTGACAGCATGGAGAATAAGAGGCGACGTAAAGATCTAGATGCAGGACTCTCACCATCCGCTATCACTCTACTAGATTCAGCGGGTGCCAACAGCAAAACACGTCGACAATATCTTCCAACTCAAGAAGCTTTCGCAGTATGGGCTCAACAAGAAGGCTTCGACCCTAGTACGCCAAATGCAATTGCTGTGGTTAACTATTTATGCCATGCGCGGATTATTTATTCTTGGAGTAGGAATACCACTCTTAACAAAAAATCAGCCATCTTAAAGCTTTACGACGACACATCCGTGATCACAGGCAACATCTACTTTCAGCGGTTCATGGCAGCAATGAAAAGTACTGGCGTATTTCAAATGGAGCACGTATCCGCACTCGACATTTCACCCATCCTTTCATACTTCCGCATGGAGGACAATGTGGATCTTGATATGCCTAAGCTCTCTCGCAAGCTCTGCTGGCTCTTAGGCGTTTGTGCGTTTCTCCGGCCAGATGATATCGGTTGCATCGATGTGTCAAAGTCAGAGACCAATGAAAAGGGTCTTCTCCTTACCATAGTCTTCCCTAAGGAGCGACGCGATGGGCAGCGCATCATAAAGTCGATCTTCGTAGGTAGACACCCTAACGACAAGAAAATTTGCCCAGTCGAGGCCTATACAGAATACACCAGACGGATAGCGGACACACCTCTCGAAATCGAGCACCACAAAGATCAGGATTATAAATTCAATCCTCTTATGCGCTTTGTGAAAGACAAGTCTAAAGTCCTTAGGGTCAGTACCATAGGCACTTTTATGAATGAAATCACACGTCGAATTCCAAATCTTCCGTCGAAACGGCCTCCTCCAAAGCCACGCGCTATAGGATCAACCTTGGCAGCCATCGCTGGCGTATCAACCCAAGATATCATGGTTCAAGGGAGTTGGTCGTCTGACAAGGTTTTCAACAAACACTACCGTGTTTCCCGCAAAACCCATTCAAATTTGACGACATCGGTTTTTGGTTCGCTCTGAAGTCACATATGGACCATGGCTACTCTGATAATGATCTGGAAGTGCTACGAAGGACGCACTATCCTCATTATCCTCGTAGCCATGGGACATATGTCCCTCCCACACCTCCCTTTTCTTTTCACTCGTTACTAGATAGAGAGTAGATCAGAGCGAACGCTAGATTTTATTTATTTTATTTTTAGTTTTCTCGGTCAGAAGGAATAAAAAGAGGTCACACATATGTCCCATGGCTACGAGGATAATGAGGATAGTGCGTCCTTCGTAGCACTTCCAGATCATTTTGCCCATGTGACACGACCCTTATTTTGAAACTTTAAATCAGCATGCATCGCTATCGCGTCTACGATGCACTGTAGATTTAAAATAAACCTGTTCGCTTTGTTTTACAATCTTAATCCCTCAACGCACCTATATTTCTGAATCCTTGCTTTCATTTTCCTCAGACCTTTGTTTTTATTGCTTTCGTCTATTTTATCTGCTAAAAAAAAAAAATGCCTGCCAAACGTTTTACACGTTCGTCGTCGTTGGCTGCCACACGTTCCACACGTTCGTCATCAGCTGCACCTCCCAGAAGCCAGTTGCCTACCAAGTGCCCTCGCTCTATTTATGGTGACTCGAACCACTCGAAAGCCGTTCCTCCGTCGGACAGCTCCACTTC